GAAAGAGTTTGACATCTATCTTGGCTCAGAGGAAAGGGAAATACTGAAATCCCGGGATTCGGGAAGGGTACATAGATCTTCAACCCAGATTTTGGATCCTGGAGCGTGAGTCGCAAAGGGATCGACTATAAATTGCAAGAGTTTACAGACTTGGATATGAACGTTTCTCTTTTGTCTAGAAAAACTCCACATTCGCATATTTGCTGTTCGTATCAGTTAAAAAATATGAACTTTAAAGCTATCAATGTGTGACGTAAGCAAAATGGCAATTTGTTTTAAAAGACAGCCATCGATGACCGAAGAAACATAAGTTCTGCCAAAACAAACCAAACAATCAAAAATTTGGCAACTAAACAAATCAAGTCGTCAACAACAAGCCAGCCACCAAGAACAAACTAACAACAAGCCGTAACAAACCAACCATCTGCCTAAAGTATTGGTAATTTCAATCCAGGGCTCGGTTCTGCAGAGTAAGAACTGGCTACATGATTTTGTGATTGTCTTTCTGTACAATATCAGTTAACTAACTGATTCTGTACGATATCAGTTATCTCTAAGCTAACTAAGTCTTTTGCTAATTTTGTACTAACATATCCAAAACATTGCAAGTTGGAGCACCCAACAAAAGCAATACACTAATGTTAAATTTGTTTATTAATAATAAGGTTGAAAAGATAAACAACCAAAGAAGCTTGCTGGTGCAACGATCAGGATGACATGACTGATCTGGAGTGCCCATTAAGAGGTGAAGCAGGCGGAATAATAATAAATAAATAAATAAATCAGTTATTTTAACAAAGGAATACCTTCGTGGTGAACTTTCTATGAATTCCTTCCAAGATTCATTTTATGTCTTCCTATGCTTGACATAATAATTAAAAAGCAATTTTAAAAAATGTCACTGTATTTCGCTTTATCGGCTGCAAAGATTAGCTAAGCAGACCTTGGCGGAAAGAAAGTCAAATTTGATATTTATAAAACAATAAATTTTACGTGCTTCCTTCATATAATGCGTGTGATTTCTTCTGAACAGGGAGGTCACAGGATTTTTAAAATTTATTTTGTGAACTCTGTTTTAATGTCTCCTGTAAATTCAGCTAAGCAGCAGATTATCATAAATCTGGATAAAATGTTTCAATAACCCGTCATTTACAGCGCCAAATACTTTTTTATGATATATAATATATATATATATGTAAGATAAAAATATATGAATCGAATTTATAGTTTAAACTATAAACATTAATTCTTCCTCTGTATTCTAAAATCGTAATAACTTCTCTGCTTTGCGTCATTTCTAGATCACTCTATGACCCGCGCAATTCTGATGACGTAATAATTGGGACTGAAACTTCCATTGTAAACCAAAACTTTTCTCTTCGCCGTGCTTCCATCTTTCATAACTACTCACTTCAGCTTTTGCTCTCTACTGTGCTAAGATGTAATTTCGCTGGCTTGCTTTCTATCTCAACAATAAATCAAAAAATGTAAATCTTCTGTGGAAAGGCACGACTAGAGTGCCAAGTGATTGTGGCCACAAATATCAGTTGCAAATAAAAATGGAATTAAAACTGCCTCGACTGCCAAGTTCTTTAGATATTACCAAGTTAACATTACTAGCATACTACGCAATCAAAATTCGTCTTCAATATGGATCTAATCACGCATCTACAGTATTCCGTCTTTTCCTTTGCTTTTATTATGACATATATATACATATATATAATGGTTGGGAATACCTATAGTGTTATCTCAGCGGCGTTTTCTGACTTGACTTATGGTTTTCAGTTTTAATTGCAGATCTACTCTGGCAACATATTAACTTTATTTCAAATCTTTTTCCATCTCGGAAAAACACGAGCTAACATATTTGACCAATAATTTAATATCACTTAGAAGCATGAGAAAATTTTAATTTCATGTGAACTACTACCTGTCATTAATAGAATTTTATTGCATAGTGAGAAATGTATCTTGCTAGTCCAGTTTTTGAAGCAGATAGTTTTCTAATTTGCGTAGAAAGCTAATAACATTTAAGCAGCCCACATTTTCGGAAGAGCTTGCAATGCTGTTTATTTTAATATTTTTAAGTGTTAGCTTAAAAATTACCATGCTGCTTCCAAGACTGAAAAGCGTCAGACTAATTTATTGATGACATGTCAATAAGTGCCACAAAGCTTTATCGACAGTGTCATTGCAAATACGGACTGCAGCTACGAGACCTGCATTTAATTTCTAGACCATCATATAAGCATATAGTAGATAAATGCTATCTAATATTTCAAAGCCATTTTTAACTTTCAAAATGTGTTCATCAGAGGAATATTAACTATTACATTTTTAACTGTAGGTAATTTAATAATTGATCTAGTAATATGACTTCCCATTCCGTTCTGAGAGAATTTAGAATACTGTATAAATTTAACGTAATAGAAGAATAAAATTCATTTAATCTAATTTTAAAATTATAACATCTGTTGTCTCACATTTAAAAAATTTTAAGTTAAACTTCGTAGTGCTTCGTTTAACTTAAAAATTTTAAGTTAAACTTGCATTGGTACATTGTTACTTAAGATTTATGTTAATGTTGGAAAATATGAAAAGGTTTTGTGTGGTATAATTTTCAAATAAGATACCTAGACTGAGTCTAAAGCAACTAAGACAGCATTTCTCAATCGAAGATTCTTCGGAACTTTACAATTTCGTGAAAAACCGACAGAATTTCGGTGGGAAAAAGTAATGAACAGGCTATCATACGTAAAAATAGGCTAATTATGTGATTTTGTTGCGTAAGCATTTTCTGAGGCATGGATTTTATTTCAAGGATTTTGCAAAAAATAAAATGGATGAGGAACGCCAATGTAAGAGATGTAAGCTGAGCATTTAGAAACCAAACCCTATCGTAAAGTAATATGTGGAAAATACTCCTTGATATCCGTAACACGAATTTACTGCTTCTTATGAGAAATAATCTGTTCTCATGAGTTTAAATGCTTTTTGGATCTGTACTGAAATTAACTCAGAACCTCAGGTGTTAAATTTGTTCAGCTTCTTCCAGTCATTAAAATGTAGCTAATCATAAATATCTAGTGCAATCTAGTTCAAGAAGTTACAGTTAGATATGTAATATGCTAAGTATTTCAAATTCAGTCTTTCTCACAGAATTTCACTGATCTTTGTTCAATAATTATATTTTTTATAGTATTTTTATGCGATTTATTTCCTGTGATGAAAAACCAAACTAAGCGTCAGCAAAGTATCCTTTTATATTATACGTATTATCTAGCAGGGTTTAATTTAAATTTATTTAAATTTATTTAGACAGCTAATAATTGTACTTGTGTTTGGGGAAATTTAACACTTAGAGGTATAAATTATTAGCCCAAGTTCAGTCTCATTCAAAATTTGAGTTTTTCAGGTAAACGGAAAAAATATTCTATGATTATTCTTATTTGATTACGATTACAATATTCAAATATAATAAAATTTAAAATATTGAATATTTGATTATGATATTAATAAGTATTCAGTCACCTCGATCTATTTCGGTGTCATATTTCAGAATAGATGTAAACATCCTTCTGCAAAATCCTAAAATTTGGGTCTGTATAAAAGTGCTCATTTTGGAAAATTACATAAAAAAAAGTTAACAAGGCAAATAAAAATGATGAAAATAATTTTTTTTGTCTTAATATGAAATCGTCTTGTGTATTGAGCTACCAATATAAGACCTTCTTTATAGAGAAAGACTAATTTCTCTTACCTTTAAAAATAGTTTTCTGAAAGTTTAATAGATTTGCTTTTATAGCAGTTATTTTGAAATTTTTGTAACCCAAAATAGTGTATAAGTATTTTAAGGCTAATATGCAGTGTTAAAGCTATATATTTTACACCTAGATCAGTAGCTTTAAAGTATTAATGTTAAGAGTCAGTCCAAATATTAAGAACCCGTATTAAATAATAACCAGTTCTATTCTTGAGAAAGTGTATGTCGTTAAGGGTTCCTGTTTCATTAAGACAGTTTGGATCTGTATATGATAATTACCTTAAATATTAACGCAGATTTGCATAAAGCTGCATTTATTCTACCTGGGTTAGAAGCTAATTGTCTTAAATTTCAAAACCAAATTTGCTTCCGTATCAGGTGTTTTCTCCCTCCTTTCTGCATGCCTTCGTTGTGTAACGGTAGTACATTCTGCACGTATTTGACAGGTCCAGGTTCGAGTCCCCGTGGTGAGGAATCCTCATCCACCAGTTTTTAGTTTGGGCGCCATTGTAGAGTCATTAGGTTATTTGGGAAGCAGAAGATCTGAAAAAGGGCACTGCTCATTTTTCAGATCTTCTGCTTCCCAAATAACCTAATAACTCTACAGTGGCGCCCAAACTAAAAAGTGGTGGATAATGATTCCTCACCACCGGGATTTGGCGACTGGGTCCCCTAATCCGCAGTCGCCTCCTAAAAGGGGGAATATATAAGGTATTTTCTCCCTCCTTTTTACATGCCTCTGTGATACAACGATAGCACACTCGGTGCGTATTCGAGAGTTCCAGGTTCGAGTCCCAGCGAGGGCGTTGCTCATTTTAAAGGTCTTCTGTTTCCTAAATAACTTAATGATTCTCTCTACATCCGTACTTTAGTAAAGCAACATTTTTTATCAAAAGTTTTAAGATTCTGAATTTTCAAAACTTGCTTTTTTGCGATATTCATTTAAACGCTTTTAATATCTTTATTATCTATTACTTTAATTATCTTAATTATTTAGCTTTATGAGCTTTTAATATCTTTAGCGGAAAAATTTTCTTAACTTTTTGAGGGCGATGGGAGACACGAAGGCTATAATTTATTTACACTGTTAGGACATAGGAATCATCTTTTAATGTAATGCAATAAATATTAATATTAGTAGAGTTAAAAGGGAAAGCTAGGAGTGTGCTTTTTACCAAAGATCTGCCTCGAAGTTTAAATCATGTCTGAGGTTGCTAGACCTGCAAATATCTACCTGGAATCTATGATCCGTCCCTCGAAGCGGGGGAAACGCAGAAGGATGATTGTGTTTCCTCGTCATAGCTCTTGGACAAGCTGGCCATAGGTCTCTGCCAAAACTCGGGCTCAGACTTCCAGCGTCTTCATTCCTTCCATATAGTCAAGCCCAGGGCCATACGCCATTTGCTCGCTTCTTTTCATTCAGCTTTCTCCTTCACTATCCTTTATCCGTGCAGCCGACCAAATCCAAAAAGTTGCTGCCTCTTCGCTTCCCCTGGAAAAAAAGACGTGATGGAATTCTTAAAACTTGGAAATACCTCACCCCCTGAGAGATCTAAGGGAGAGAGAGAGAAAAAAAAAAAAAAAAAATAGATTAAAGCCAAGTACGCCTAGTGTATCATTTTCGAAGCTGCTGTATACAGGCACTTCTCTTATAAGGTATTCTTGACGCGCTGTTGGGTGGTTTTTCCTTTTTTAGAGCTTCGAAAAGCGGCAGATGGCAATTTAGCCCACAGTGGTATTTATTGCGGTCATTAACTTTTCTATCTATGTTGAATATTAATTCGGTTAGGTTTCACTTGATGTATATATACTTTCACGTGGCGAGATTGAATTTAGTAAAGTAAAGTATTCGTTTTCTTGAACGAAATGCAACTTGCCTGACTTACTCTTGAGCTCAATTTCTAAGCTATACAAGAACTAAATTTAACTTCTTAGATTATTTTGATTTTGATGATACTATCATTAATACATAATTAAGAATTTTAGAGATTTGTGGAAAGAAAGTTTCATCCAAGTGTACGGTATTTATTATTAATTCATTAATTCATTAGGCAGTTAGTTTATGATTATTTGATAAATTAGGTTAAAATAATTTTAATAAATTACCTCATTACTTTGAGTTTCAGTCACACCTTTTATTCAGATTTTTAAAATACGAAATTAGAGTGCAGCTTAAATTCAAAGCATATATTTTAATTACTTATTTTTACCGACTTTCATTCCAATTTTCGAATTATAAAATCATATTGCGGCTTAAATTTGAAACAATATGGTATGTAAGAAATGTGTTTTGATTGCAGAATAATTGTAGAACCATATGCCCTTTACAGAACTGCGTTATTTGGAAATAACTAACTAATAATGCTAATAATAATAAAAAACTAAAATGAAATCTGAAAGCTTTTAGATTTTATATTACGCCCTAAGGGGCGTTTTTTTAACATTTTGTGTGTTACCTTTATTTATTGAATATCATATTATTCGCACTTAAACCACATAAAATTGAATTCAACAGCAATCTCACAAAATATTTAAAAAAACAACATATCTTTAGAATTCCCGATAGACAGTCTCGCGCGCTGGAGATAAAAATTATTATTATTATTATTATTTCTGTACAGTGTGGCCGTTGCTCGCTTTGCAATCCTTGAGTTTTTAATCAAAAATTCTTTTACAAAATTCTTAAAAAGTTTTACAAAATGTAAAATAGATAATAAAACAAATCCGAAATTTAAAATTCGGGCTTCCATGTACCCATGTTCGGGTGGAGGATTACATTATTCAAAATTTGATGGCTATAGGTACCGTCGTTTTTTTCACAATGCGAAAATTTCATTTAAAGTAATACAGAGCAATAATATTTGGTGGCAACAATTTGAAAAGTGATTCAGCCTTTTACAGCGATTCCACGCAAAATCGTGTTTTGAGACTAATAGCCCTTCTGAGTGACAAATGGAATATAGTAATATTATCTAACTACCAATGTTCAGAATTTATATCAGTGCCTTATATTTCATTGAGATAAGAGATTGTTATTCATTTCACTCATTTGCCAAGAGATTAAAATGCATTTTCAAGTGAAACCGTTAATAGCAATTCGAAAATTAGTTACATCGACGAATGCAGAATCTGTATATCTGCTTAGCACTGATTTAGAGTGTATGATTATTGCAAAGCAGAATTTCACTAGGGCTACATTCCTATGGTAAGGGAGGCTTTCTAAAAGAAACTGAGCCCTAACTAGTGCATTATACACAAAGTAAATCAGTATTTATTCAGGCAGTTCTTTCAAGTAAACAAAATAATCATGCTTGCATAGAACACACACATGAGGGGGAGGGGAACTAACATAGTTCCAAGAACTTATATGCTAAAATCATAAATGAATTTTAGGTAAAATACACAACAAATTTCGTGCTTCGAAAATAGGAAATCTGGAGTAGCAGGTAGGATAACAGAAGAAACTGTTTCACCGGTGGCGAGAAGAAAGTGCAGATACAAAACAAAGAAACAATCATAAGAAGACAAGGAAACAATTCAGTAACTCATACAAATTTAAAATTTTAAACAAATGGCAATTGGCTCCAGATGAAGACAGGCGCCAAAAATCTAAGACACCCAACTGCATCTGATTTCAAAATAATGGGAAAAAAAAATTAGCAATTTACCTGAAATCTTTCTGCCTGCGGCCAGTGAGGATTTTGTTTAAAAAGTCGTGCCTTTAAATAGGGAACTTTATTTTATTTGAAGTTAATCATTTTAGAAAATGATAAAATATCTTGATGATCGATTGCAAGCCGTTCTGGTTATCTTGAAATTTGGTTGCTAAAAGATCTGATTGCCTTGACCTTTGTTTTCGTTACATGTACAGATCATCTGGTCAAGGTTCACAATTATGGAATATTTTAGTTAAGTGGCAAACGACAGTTTCTTTTTCTTACTGTCGATATTGGTTCCTATTTCTTACTGCCCTTCTGTCGATATATATTGCGATGTTTAACTGATGACAAAACTTAGTGACGTGAAGTAAAAATTAGTGATGGTGCCTAGTCTCAACACTGAGATCATTCTTGTAAATATTTTAATTACGATCCGTTAATCCATAATGCGCCTGCAAAGTTTTAGGACAAAGTCCGTGTAAAATCAAAAGTTAAAGAAAACGAACGTTCTTACTACTGTAGTGATTCCTAATAGTTATTTCTAATTTTAAAATCTTTTCCCTAAAATTATTGTTTTCCACCTACAACTCCCTACCAGAATGAGTTTGCAGTATCGCTTTTTTTGTAAATGCCGTAGAACCAGTATTTAATGGGAAGTTCAGTCACTTCCAGAGAAGAGCTCATCTCAGCAGAGCGTTTTCTGCCTTCGATTCGTAGCTTTAAGCCTATCTTACTACGTAGTATTACGTGCCTGTTAGTATTCCCCGTTAAGGTTTAATTACGGGCCAACTCGGCCAATTTATTTTTGCAGAGCTTCTGCTAAAGTTTAGTTAGTTAGGATTAGTTTAGTTCCTTATTTTGTATCTTAAGTTAAAGCCCAAGCGAAGGCTTTCCTGTAAGCCCGAGAGGGGTTGACTGTTACTATTTCTTTGAGTGAATAAAAGGGTATTTTAATTCTTCTTTGGACTTTATAGCTGTAGGAAGACCGGTGAATAGCTGCTAGACTCTTCACTAAAGTTCTAGTAGCCAAGGACACGTAAATTAACTAGAACTTTATGCTACTTAAACTTCAATATAGCTATTATCGTAAGTCTGTATAATGCTTAGCAGCTTCATTCAGCTGGCTTGGTGTCTTCATTGAATTCACCTTTTGGAATACTTCTAGTTACGATTTCCTGAATCTTTTTCAGTGCTGTTAAAATAATGACCTATGATGAGAGACTATTCTTTAGGATAGAATGGAATTTAATCAGGGCAGGGAAAAAAAATAGCTTTAACCTTTGAGCATGCGCTATGTATATCGAAATCACAGATCCAGATATTTACGTTACATCTTGTCAAATCATGTCTTTACTTTAGGCAATTTTGTACAATGGCAAGAAAATGTTATGGAAATAAATAGTTTCTCAAATTAATTAGCGTAATTGTATTTATGTTTAAGAACTGTTAATGATATATAAAAAACTAAATGGCGCAACAGCCCTAGTCAGTCACGGCTCGCAATGCCCGAAATCTGCTTTCTTGACTTTGGGCCACGGAGTACATCAGCATATACCTTGGACAAGTGGTCAGCTTGTTGCAGGGCCCTCGGTGTTTAGTCCCCAAGCGAACTTGGTACTCAGTTAATTAGCGTAATTGTATTTATGCTTATGAACTATTAATGATATATTGTTTCGGGAAAATTCATTACGCATTCCAGATAGAAAATTATCCTTTTCTATGCTTATCATGAAGAATGTGTACCTGTTATTTTAAATAAACGAAAATATATTGCTCAGGGAATTTTGGAATCAAAACCAAATCAGAATTTTTTGAGTAAATTAAGTATACATTTAAATTTAGAATGAATTATTAATTAAATAGATCCCCACAAGTTTCTCTTTGTAAAATCTAACGAATGTGTTGTTTTTTAAATGTATTGTTTTTTACATTTTTGCTTTCGCCATAAACGCATTCACATTCAACAGATAAATAAGTTAGTTTCAAGCAAAAACTTCGTTAACAAAAAATAAAGGAGGACAAATTATGCAAATGAAAACGCTAAAAGAAAAACATTTTTTTTTTTTTTTTCGTTTTTCAATCTTTGGCTGCTTTACGCATTTTATTTCCCAAACGCATTTACTAACGCGAAAAATTTTCATAACGCGGATTTCATTATGGTACCTTTTTATACAAACCCAAATAAATAAAAAAAGGCATTGAATCTGTCTCCCGCATAGCGATACAGGAATGATGTGGAAACCGTATACGATAGCGCTTTCCTATCATTCTCACTCAGTGTTGTGTTTCTTTGATAGCTTCAACATATGCTGCTATTTACACGCTGTCTTGTGTAATAGAATCCCCTCCGATGCCGTACATTCAAACTAACGAGTTCCATCGAAGTATTTCTTCTCTCTGCTCATAGATCCGATTCCTGAACTCTGAAATAAGAGATTCTTCTTTGATATTCTCTAAAGTATCAGAGAATAATTTTATTTTATTATTGTTGACAGCAGCAAATTTTAGAAAGGAATAAGATTGTTTTCGATTTTAAAAGATGCAATGATTTTTTAACAATTTTGAACAAGATTAATCATAGCATATTCATTGATATTACATAGAATTGTATATGTTGAATTAGCTTGAAAAATAACAATATAGCAACCAAATGATAATCGCTTTGAATTTCAATAACAATCATGCTGCTACTGATAATGATAACTATAAGAATAAATTAGTGTCACTAATGAAACTCGGCAACGTCAAAAACAAACGAGTGCCAAAGGATGTATTGGCAAGAGAGGATTCTACCTATGTTTTTAGAGGCCAGAAGCCTTAAAAAGATTTTGTG